CACCACAAGCCATTGCTTTGGAAAAACACATTTTTCAGCCACACCCACTTCAGTTCCCAATGGGTTATAACAGGAAGATCCACTGACGAACATTAAAGCACTCAACAGCATAAAAAGCTCATTGACACTTCTGATTTAATCATAAACACCTGGTCCAAACCTGTTCTTTCATTTATGAAATAAACAACACTACAAAATGGCTTGACCTTTTTAAAAATGAGACTATTTTTTGGGTCCAACCAGGGCTGGACTGGGGCAAAAAATCAGCCCTGGCATTTTGGGCCAGAGCGGCCCACTAAATTCAATCAAAATGCTATCTATCTATGCACGTCCAATATTTTTATGAACTCAAATTCTATAAAACACAAAAGCCATATATATGAAATAAATAAATACAAACTTTAATCATAATTTAATTTCTGTATACTGTCCATAAAGATATTTGTTGAGTTCTAAAAAAATACACTATTCATTCATTTATTTTTCTTCGCATAAGTCCCTTATTTATCAGTGGTTGCCGCAGTGGAATGAACTGCCAACTATTCCAGCATGTTTTATGCAGCAGATGCCTTTCCAGCCACAACCCAATATTGGAAATCACCCATACACACTCATTCACACACACTCATACACTACAGCCAATTTAGCTTAATTTAAAACACTATTCACTCAGCCTATATTCGATAATAAACATAACAAAAACTGCCCACTGATGCATGGGTAAATCTTCAAAGGGAACAGTGTACTTTATAACCTCTTTCACCTCATCCTGCTTGCTGTTTCACTATCTAAACAATGAAAACATAATATGAGTCAAATTTGTTTCATTTTGATATTATGATTTACAGACACCAAACAGCCTCGTGTAGCTGCATATTTATATGAGCGTCATCTTCACTCTGCATATTTATAACAAAACGGGGCTTAAATATAACTGTCTTCTTTCGTTTCCATTGAAAAGAATGAACTTTACCCCGTCTCTTTTGCAGAATATCAGTTTTAATAATCAATAATGGCCATTATAACAGTATAACGTACATTAAATTTAAACGATAAAGGTAAGCAATCAGTCAATGTGCAGAATCAGTGTATGTGGTTACATAAATGAATATATTAGCTTATCTTTGCACTCAGCCAAAACAGTTAACTGAGAACAAGTGTTTCAAAAGACATAAGAGTTGTTAGATAGAGACAACAAGATGAATTCAATATCACGTTTTAACAACTATAGTGAGATCAGATCCAGCAGATGAACTGTCTGACATGCACTATACTCTCACCTGGGGTTTATGCTCACCCGCTGAATTACTGGCTGAAGGTCTTGGCAGAGAGTGTGTGGTCACGTGATTTGCGTTTTTAACCGTGTACTAGAATGAACGGAGAACTTTTCAGAATCGCTAAATGAAACGCCGGTGTATTTCCCGCGATTTCTCTGCGCCTCCCTTGCGTTTCTTCTCTCTGACTCTCGACTATTTTGACAAATACACACAGACGACGCACGCTCACACGGAGTCCAAAATAGAAGTTTGTGATTGGGCCAGCCAAATGTCAGTAAAGAAAAGAACCAATGGGCTGCAGAGTGTCACATGGGCCGGCCCGGTCTGTCTGTCCGGGAAAAAAAGCATCTACTTTTAGATAGTCACAGATCACAGAAGCGTCAATTAATAAGGCAGAAAAAAACGATAGGCTGCTAAGCCTTTTATGGGCCGATCAGATCATAAGACGATTACAGCCCGGCCCAAAAAGTACATCGGCCCACCGGGAAAGTGCCCCTGGGTCCAACCATATGGAAATATATGCAAATTACAAATGACATGCAAGGTTCATATTTAGATTTTATACATATTTGTATATATGCTTTCATACACTCACCAGCCACTTTAATAGGTACACCTTAGTAGTACCGGGTTGGACCCCTTTTTGCCTTCAGAACTGCTTTAATCCTTCGTAGCATAGATTCAACAAGGTACAGGAAATATTCCTTAGAGATTTTGTTCCATATTGATATGATAGAATCACGTAGTTGCTGCAGCTGCACATCCATGATGCGAATCTCCCATTCCACCACATCCCAAAGGTGCTCTATTGGATTGAGGATCTGGTGACTGTGGAGGCCATTTGAGTACAGTGAACTCATTGTCATGTTCAAGAAACCAGTCTGGAAGTATTCACGCTTCATGACATGGCGCATTATCCTGCTGGAAGTAGCCATTAGAAGATGAGTACACTGTGGTCATAAAGGGATGGACATGGTCAGCAACAATACTCAGGTAGCCTGTGGTGTTGACACGATGTTCAACTGGTACTAATGGACCCAAAGTGTGCCAAGAAAATATCCCCCACACCATTACACCACCACCAGCAGCCTGAACCGTTGATACAAGGCAGGATTAATCCATGCTTTAAATGTTGTTGACGCTAAATTCTGACCCTACCATCACAATGTTGTAGCAGAAATTGAGACTCATCAAACCAGGCAACGTTTTTCCCAATCTTTCAATGTCCAACTTTGGTGAGCCTGAGCAAATTGTAGCCTCAGTTTCCTGTTCTTAGTTGTCTGGAGTGGCACCTGGTATTTACCAATGCAAATATTTAAATGCATTGAGTTGCTGCCATGTGATTGGCTGATTAGAAATTTATGTCAACGAGCAGTTGGACAGTCAGGTGTACCTAATAAAGTGGCCAAAAATACACAACATACATTTCAAAGTATTGCAAAAAACATATATTGGACACGTACAGTACATAAACTTATTTTTGAACATGTAAATTGTTAAATAAAGATATATATAAATATCTTTATATATATCCAATAACAAGTAAAATAAGGGTAAGTATCGTCGAAATCAATCCGATACTTTGCCCAAAAATTACTGTTTGTGAAATTAAAATAACAAATAGTGTACTTAAAAGTGTCACTTTATACTGAATACAAGATATATTATGGATTATTTTTGTTTACTGATGAATAATTATACAAAAAAGAGCCAAGTTGCATATGTATTGACAGCATCTGAGCATGTATATCTTAAAACACCTGCCTGAACATCCTAACATAAAACAATAAACATTCACACCTTTGAGTTTTGTGGCATGTTAATCTGGTCCCTCTTGAAGATTTTTTATCTTTTTCTTTTGTTTTATCATTGTCACAAAAACCCAAGCCCCCAAAATACAGCCACATTGCCACATTTTCCCTCTGTGTACCTGGATAGTGCCTGCCTGGTGCACCTATAAGGACTTGGCAAGCAATGTCGATCTCTCCCCAGCTGCACCTGTGCCTCTCCTCCACTTCTGACCGCCTAGTCATGGCGTTGTCATATTCTGTCTTGTGATTTATATGTAGATGTTTAATTAGGTTTGCTGGATTACCACAGAACCTCACTGTTTTGTTACACGCGTCACAAACAGCATCGTTTGAGTTTATGGAAGTGAAGTAGCTCCACACAAAACTTTGCTTGAGGTCATCCATATCCAATGACTGCGTGACTGAACAACATGTGCCAGCGGACTGACTGAGCGGCTAGCTAGCTTGCTCTGCAGTTGTACAGTGCCATATTACGCACATGACTTTTCAGGCGGAAGAACAAGTAGTTCCGACTAAATTGGCATTACTCATATAAACTAAGGTAATTGTGGTTATTTTCAGCTGTATTTCCATTTCCAATAAACAAAATATTTGCTCCAAATTACAAAAAATATTGATATTTCGATAAGACAAATTCTTGAACACACAAACCTGGTATTAGAGATATCGATATTTTGGTTTCGATCCGAACATCACTAGTAAAGGATATACAAAAGAATGTCTTAATCCTGCACAGATCGATGTATTCCCTTTAAATAAACCCAAACTATAAGTACGATAAGACAAAATGCAGTCATACTAAAGAGTAGCATATATTAATGTAGTCTCTGAAACCAAATCTTAATTCAGCAGTTCATGAAGTAAAACCTTGTTTCAAGGAATTTATATTTAACAAGACATAAAGAATAGATTTATTGCAGTGTTGCCTCTAAGCCCAGTAGAATTTTTGTTTTTCAATTGCCATTTTATTGAGATATACTTAGCAAAGGGTCTCCTAAGAGAGATTATTACAAAATCATATTGGCTTAATCTCGAGGTGCACCCTCTACCACAATGTTTCTCTAGCAATTTGGCAACGATTTCAATCTCACTGCAGTTGGGCTCAATATCTTTGCGCCAGCTTGAGCTGATTATCTCCACTCAGATAGAAGCAAATCATTTGGCATCAAATATGCTTCACTTGGTTTTCCATAAAAGACTTGGTTGTGGGAGGTCCCAGGCTAACTGATCAAGCAAAAAGATGGCACAAAGAAAACAAGCACAGTTTCTATAGAAAATCCAGAGTGAAAGAAGAAAATGGGCGGTCATTAAGTTATTATGGGTTTATGACTTGATCGAGATGTTGGGGGATGCTAGCACTGTGAAATTCATCAATCCCTGACAGCTATTTGCTCCACGAAGTTCAGAATTCATCACAAGTGTGCCACATGATTGAATATGGCAAACTGACATGGCAAATGTATGTGTCGTTCTCATGCAATGTTTCTGCCATTAGGAGCAGTGGTTTAACACTGAGACACAGCGAGGATAAAAATTGCACATCCATAAATTCTCTGCATTACAAATGAACACTTCATGGTTATATATGCTTCCAAGCAGATGCTTTTATACAGATTAAGCAGCTTCTTTTTACTCACAGTGACCGTGAGGGTCAGGGAGGGAATGAAATATTCTATACGCAAGGAAGATGAACAAATATCAAGGGATAACAATGCACCAGCAAACAGGCAAATAAGCTCATTCAAATTCAAATCTAGTAGCAAGCAATACTCATGACTGTGCATCAGCCATGCCCTCATTGTATATATATTTGCTGACTAAAATCCTTTCGCTTTCAAGCATTAACCTGCTGACAAGACTTTAAAGATAGCGAATCCAAAGCATGTCAAATGTAAAGGCAAAGTGACAGTACCTTCCTGTATGCAATCATGTTGGGTGAGTCCTCATCTGGGTCGGCTATGCCCACCGCACCTTGGTCCTGAGAGGCCTGAGCCATGCTTGATTGCTGGGTCTCTCTTTCTGTGTCTGTGGGGAACGGGCACAACAGAAAAGGAATGAGTCCCAGAACAGGTCCCAGACAATGAATTAGCCTTCCAGTCATGTTCACCTCTCGCCCCTTACCTCAGTATTCCTGGTCAAAATTGGCCAGTCCATTTTAAATGTTTAAAAAAATTTAAAACCAAGTTTTTACTCAACATTCTTCAGCTGTGAACAATGTCTCAAAGTAGTGTTTAACATGAATTTATAGAATTAGAGATAAAATAACAGCAGTGAAAATACAAATAGTGAGTAAGTGATTGAGTTGGGGTGGTGTACAGTATGTGGGGATTTTTTCTGTCTGATAGATGAATACAGTCTAGATACCCATTCATTTTCTATGGCCATCACTTTTGACTGAGAACAATCAATGAAAGCTGCATGCAATGTTTAAATGCATAGTGTGAAGGATAGCATAAGGCCTTGAGGCAATCTGATGTAAAACACAATATTTAGTGTGTTTGAAGTTGTAAATTTGTCAGATTTGACCAGAACACGACAGGAAGGTTAAATATCTACTATTGCCTGTGTAGGCTGAATGAGATATGAGAGATAAGGCAACGGTGAATATTCCCAAAAGTGATGTCAAATTATTACAATAGTTAAATTCTTGGAAAATAATGATCTAATTTATGCTGATTTTTAGCCCTTTTAGCGGTTCGATAATTCATATTCACTGTCATAGTTTGAAAAAAAGGTCTGGCTATTCATAAAAATGCATAAAATGTGTTTCACTGAGGAAAGAAATTATTTAAAAAAAGGGGTGCTATTGTAAGAGCCACACAGAGGACTGCCCTAGTTCTCAATTGTTGTTTACTTTCACACATTGAATTTGAACATGTTGATGATGCATTTGAGAATTAACCAATAACATTTTACTGAGTTTTTTGTTGTTGTTGTTGTTATCCTTTACATGTGCTGTGCAGTAGAAGCACAGTTTTAAATAGGAGGGAATTTATTTTTTTAAAAAAAACTTTTTCTAAAATTCCAGTCTTGCCAGATTGGGCGGTTTCCCAATTCCCAGCCAATAAGGAGGTTTTAAATTTATGTGGGTAAAAAAATGGCAGGGTGGTTTGACACCTTGAAACATAACTTTTATATGCAACTTATTCAACAAAGCAATTATGTGTCCTACTCCATTCAGTTAGTTGTGACAATGCATAGCACAAACCGTGTGGGCCCACTCGCAAGAGTGAAGGAAAGTTGTATCAAAATCTGACTCCCCGGACAAATCTGACTCCCCTTCGCAGCGTGACACTACATGACACTTTTATTGATTTTTATTTTTTTTCAATAATTGACAGCAAGAACTAATTGACAAACAGGACCTAATTATGTATAAATAAAAAAAACTGTAATAGGATGGATTCATAACCCATTTCGAAGGTAAAACATACTCTTCATGAGTAGTGTAATCTACACAAAGTGTGTGGGTGAGAGGGGGACAGTCTTTCGATGTGATTCAGTTATTTTGTGGTTCTGTGACGGCTGGTGTTGGTTGCTGTATGAGTAAAAATTATTACAGTTTACGTAACTAGATTAATTTAAATCAAACAAAATAAAATATGAATGTGACTATTTTCAATTTAATAAGGTTTTGTTCGTTTTGGCAGGTTTTGGACAGCTTTTGGGCTGGAAAAAGTCAACTAGCCTATATCTGGCAACACTGTGCTCAAGTGTCACAATTCGCGCCAATTCTAACATGTCAGAAAACAATTGGCTACAGTAAAACAGGTTGTAAACAATTTTTTCTGGTATAATAGCCTGCGATTTTACACGAGGTCTAAGTGCTTTAGCCCTTTTAATGGCTTAAAATCGGTAAGGTTCCTTAGGTGTCATTTGCTTTGACCGGGGAGGAATTCAGCTTTCCACACGTCTAATTGGTAGCTCAGAAAGCGATTTAATCGACCAGTCATAAATGGAGTCAACAAAAACAGACTGGTTTTTAGATTCAGATAACAAAGCAGGTATGTCGACATACACAACTTTCTATACAGCTACATGTATTTCTTTTAAAAACAATAACACATAGAAGTAGCTTACTTACTACCCGTTTTAGTATTAGAGCTCGTAAGCGAATGACGCATTACAAAACATTACTCGACCAAATAAAACCATCAATAAATACAAACATGAACTCAAATGGTCTTAAAACATCACCAAAAACTTTCCTAGAAAATTTTAAGATGGTTTTTATCATCGACTTATCTCAATTTAAAGAAATGGAAAGTGTCTTAGTTGCTCAAAACATATAAAGAAATATAGCCTACACACATTTGGTGTCCATTGCTGTGTATCAACTGCACGAGTTCCACAGACACATACACAAACATAAAAGACTCAATCGTCTGCTCTTCTTAAACAATATGCTGACTTATTTTCAGTAACCCTGGATTGCTTTTCCACACCGTCCACACGAGGAGCGGCGCGCGCGCTCATAACAGCTGTTAGTGATCAACACCAGCGAACCTAAAGGTAGAAATGTTATTAATTTGCGCGTGGGCATGATTTTCTAGAGCCGCATTGCACTACAAACATGTGCAGCTATTTAAAAAAAAAGACAAACAGCTGCTTTCAGAGCGCAATTCCCGCAGGAGCACCGGTCCCAATTCACACAGCACTCCACAGAGCGCGATGCCGAATATAGAGGCAGAAAAACCCTGTCACTGAAAGACACGCGCGCGCACAGCAGGGAGCGCGAGGCGACAGGATGATTCACTTCAAACTCACCAGCACTTCGGGAGCCACTCGAATCCAGCACTGGACATGACAATTGATCACTCCTGCGGGTCCGAATATTGCTATAAGTTTACAGCAGCACAATCACACACAAACAACTGCTGACTGAAAGAGCGCAATACCTTTGTAAGTACCGCCTCGTCCACTCCCGAAGCTCGATTTCCTCCTCCTTAGCAACCAGAAAAGAGCAGGTTCATGATCTAACTGGCGAGAAGGGTCTGGGATGAGGAGGATGATGATGGGGTGTTGGTGAGGAAAAAATGATGAAGAGACTCAGCGGGGGGTTTCTTCCACTCTGTCCGCCTCTCTCGCGCACTGGAGACCGGCGTGGGTGGTCGCTGCGTGGACTGGAGTGGAGTGTTCAGGTACAGTGTGAGGAAGGATCCTGGCATGTGTGCAGCTGAGTGTGAGAGAGTGTCAGAAACAGGGAGGGAGGATAACAGTGGGTGGGGGTTTTGGGGGTGGAGTGTCTCCCTCTGTATTTCTGGCAAGCTATTCTGAAACATGTATTTGTTTGATAAGAGAGTTTTTGCAGACAGATCAATTTAAATTTGGTCATGTGGTTACAGTCAATTGAGTAATCCCCTCTAATCCCTGTATTTGTCTCATTAGTACATCTATAAAACATTAAAATTAATTAGAAAAACAGCGGGTGTTAGGATTAGGGTTTAAGATTAAATGATATAAACCCCAACGTTTTTTTTTTTGACTATTTACTAAAACGAAAAGTTCCAGCAATGCTATAGAAAAACAAAAAGTCTTGGTTCCGCAAAAAATATATATATTTTTTTTGTAGGTCTTCTGCTGTGTAGATCAGGTGTTTTGAATGAAGGGCCAAAAACCAAATATTGTTGAGAGCTGTGGGCCGAAGGTAAATATACCAAACTATATTACATTAAAGTTGACATGGGTAATTTCCTAATTTATTTCATATGTCAAATTAAATAGAAAAAAATATTTCAAATCATGTTAACTAATGCAGTATAACTTTTTAAATTGTAAGTTAATGCAATAAAAACAAACAATTCTAACAGTGGAGTTCAATGCTGTACACACAAGTCAAGCAGAATCAGCCTTTGACTCGATTTGCTCACCAAAGTCTCTGCACTGTCGGGTGACAGTACTTGCAATTAAACAAAATCTTATTAATTTATGCCATATAATTTTAACATTTCATTTCAGTTAACTTTTAACAATAAGACAAAGGGTTACATTAAATTTGAATTGACAAACAGTCAGACTTGTTTCCAGTGCATGTTGGACTCCATCAGGGCTGCCCTGTCACCAATTCTGCTCATAATTTTTATGGAGAGAATTTTAAAGAGCAGCCTTGGGCTAGAGGGGGTCCAATTTGTGGACCAAAAGATTTCATTTCTGTTATTTGCAGACAATGTTGTTCAGTTGGTTTCTTCAAACAGGGATCTTAGGCATGTACTGGGGCGGTTTGCTGCCAAGTGCGACACGGCTGGGATGAGGATCAGAACCTCCAGGTCCGAGGCCATAGTGCTCTACCAGAAAAAGGCTGCCATCTCCAGGTTGGAGGAAGGTCCTTACCCCAGGTGGAGGAGTTCAAGTATCTTGGAGTTTTGTTGACGAGTGAGGGAGAGATGGAATGTGAGATTGACAGGTGGACTGGTGCAGTGGCAGCAGTAATGTGGTCGATGTACTAGTCCGTTGTGGTAAAGGAGCGGAGTTGAAAGGCAAAGCTCTGGATTTACCAGCCAATTTAGGTTAATACTCTCACCTATAGTCTTGAGCTTTGGGTCATGACTGAAATGACAATATCTTGGATACTAGCGGCCGAAATGAGTTTCTCTCACAGGGTGGCAGGGTGCACTCTTTTAGATAGTGTAGGGAGCTCTGTCATCCGGCAGGAGGTCGAAGTAGAGTCGCAGCTTCTTCACATCGGAAAAAGTCAGCTGAGGTGGCTCGGGCAACTGTTTCGGATGCCTCCAGGACACCTACCTAGGGAGGTGTTCCAGGCATGTCCCACCGGGTGGAGACCATGGGAAAGACTCAGGACACGCTGGAGGGAATATGTCGCTTGGCTGGCCTGAAAATGCCTTGGGATCTCCCCAGAAGGAGCTGAAAGAAGTGTCTGGGGAGAGGGAAGTCTTGGGTTTTTGCTGCCCCCGCAACCCGGCCCTGGAAAAACACTTGAAAATGAATGAATGAATGAATGAATCTCAAAACTTCCCATGCTTTTCCCCCTCATCTCAGATGGGATGGTAGGCCATAT